CACCGGGACCAGGAGACGCCAGCTGCAGGTAAGGTGCCTCAGTGGAGGCCTCCCCTATCTGTTGCCCCCTAGCTCTAGAGGCATTCCCGGTAGGGTAGGGCAGGGGGTCTGCGGTGGGTGCAGGCCCTTGGGCTCTGCCAGGGAAAAGGACCGGGTTGGGGATATTAGGTGGTGACTTCCCCCCCCTGCCCCTTTATGGTTTTCAGGGCAAGGCTCGGGCTAAGACTAGGATGCACCAGGAGCCCAAACGGAGATGCCCTCCTGCAAGGAGGTGTTAAAAGAATCTTGGAGGAAGGTGCTGTGTGGCCCATGCATAGAGGGGTTGGTGAGGCAAGACAGGCCTGAGCAGGGGGACTTAGCTAGGTCAGTAAAGGAGTTGACTAGTACAGTTGACTCCTTTAAAATAACTCATGGAGCGGTTTGCGCTTCCCCAGTCTACGCATTCCCCCCCCCCCCCCCCCCGATCTTATGTCGCAGCACGGAGCCGCTAGGGACGAGGGGGAACCATTAGGGGATTCCCGGTCAGAGGAGTCTGCAGGGGAGGGTCCCTCGGAGGGAAGTAGGGGGTCCCTCTCCTGGTATAAATTGTCCTTAGAGGAGGTGGATGAGCTCTTGGGGGCTATTATGAGACCCTGGACATAAAGGAGGTTAAGACCCTATCTCTTCATGACCAGATGTATCAAGGGTTGGAGGAGCATAGTTACAGAATCTTCCCTGTACATGTCTTAATCGAGACTATTAAGAAGGAATGGCAGGACCCAGAGAGAAAACCGTTCTTTTTCTAAAATCATTAAAGACAGTTCCCGTTTAGTGAGGATCCCGCCGCAGTGTGGAACAAGAACCCCAAACTAGACGCAGCCTTCTCCCAAACGACTAGGAGGACGGACCTGGCGTTTGAGGACATGGGGGTCCTACCAGATTTGCTGGATAGAGCGGAATCCCTTCTTAAGAGCCTGGGACTCAACCTTGTATAATCTGGAACCAGCCATGGCCTCGACGGTGGTAGCCAGAAACTTGGAGTACTGGCTTACTCAGTTGCAGGCTCATATAGTGGCAGACTCCCCCAAGGAAAGGATCCTGGCCTCTTTTGAGACCCTTCTGCAGGGGGTAGGTTATATCGCGGATGCATCTGCTGAGTCGGTGAGGTTGGGGGCGAGGTCTGCGGCTCTCACCAATTCGGCTAGGAGGGCACTATGGTTAAAGACGTGGCAAGGGGACATCACTTCCAAGGTCAGACTGTGCGGTATCCCTCTCACAGGAGATTGTCTCTTCGGCCCAGGGTTAGAGGAATCACTGGACCGAACGGCAGACAAGAAGAAATCTTTTCCCCTCAAAAGGAAGTTACCGGAGGGAGTGACACGTAGGGCCCGTCCATTAAGGAGACTGAGCCTGAGACCGGTGGGCCAGGGTAGGCCTACTGGACAGAGAGGTCGGGGCAGGGGAGGAGCGATTTTTCGCCCTCCTGAACGGCCCCGGAAGACACACTGACTCGATGCCTCCTGTGGGAGGAAGATTGGCGGCCTTCCTCCCGCAGTGGGAAGCGTGGTCACCAGCCCCTTCATTTTAGATATTGTCAGAAGGGGTTATCGGGTGGAGTTCGTAAGGACACCCGTCCGAAAGATATATGGTGACGTCGCGTCCGAGAAACCCGGCAATGGCCGCTGCCCTGATCACTGCTTTAGAGGATCTAGAGGACCGAAGGGTTGTAGTCAAGGTCCCAGAAGGGGAACAAAGGAAGGGGGTGTACTCCCATGTATTTCTGGTTCAAAAGCCGTCAGGAGCTTTCCGGCTGATTTTGAACCTAAAACCCCTCAACAGGTCTGTGCGTTACCGGAGGTTCTGCATAGAGTCTATATTTACAGTCAGGTCCCTGATCCCGCCAGGGTCCTTTATGGCATCCATAGACCTGCAGGACGCATACCTGCATGTGCCCATTGCGGAAACTTCTCAGCGGTTCCTCAGGTTGGCAGTAGAGGGAGGAGTGCGACACTGGCAGTTCAGGGCTCTTCCATTCGGCCTGTCCTCCTCCCCGCAAATTTTTTACCAAGGTTCTGATGGAGGCACTAGTTCCTATTCGTTTGATGGGAATTTCAGTGATAGCCTATCTGGACGACTTGCTGCTCTTCGCAGATTCAGAGGCTCACCTTCTGCGGAATCTGCGTATAGTGCGGGGCTATTTAGAACACCTGGGGTGGATGGTGAATCTTGAGAAGTCTTGTCTGGTGCCTTCTCAGAGGATGGTTTATCTGGGTTACTCTCTGGACTCGGTGAGTCAGAGGGTCAGCCTGACCTTGGAGAAGGTGGCCAAGCTAGAAGCTGGGATCAGACTGGTGCAGGGGAACGGGCCAATAGCGATAAGGCAGGTCATGTCAGTGCTGGGTCTACTGACGGCTTCCATCCCGGCAGTGCAATGGGGGGGTCTGCATATGCGTCCTCTCCAGTTATGGATCCTGAGAGTTTGGGACGGGTGTACTCTCTCCTTGGAGGACTGAGTACTGGTTCCCCCCAGTGTAAAGAGGTTGCTGTGGTGGTGGAGAAGGGCGTCCAGTATAACCCAGGGGTTATTATGGTGCTTCCCAGTATCCAGGGAGGTAACGAACGGATGCCAGCTCCAGAGGAATGGGGAGCCCACCTGGGAGGATTGGTGGCTCAAGGGGAATGGTCCTGGGAACAGAGGAACATGTCCTCAACTGGAGGGAGCTGAGGGCAGTGGCAGAGGCTCTTCAGGCCTTCCAGGAGAGAATCAGGGGCCACCATGTGCGAGTCCTGTCGGACAATGCCACGACAGTGGCGTACGTAAACAGGCAAGGGGGAACGAGGAGCAGGACCCTTGGAGCCTTGGCAGCGACGCTCTTGTCCTGGCAGAGGTGACCTTGGCATCCCTGTCTGCGGTGCATTTAAGAGGAGAGCTAAACCGGAAAGCGGATTTTCTGAGCAGAACACGACTCAGGGAATCGGAATGGGCCCTGAACCCCGAGGTGTTTCAGGAAATTGTGCTGAGGTGGGGGTCCCCGGACGTGGACCTTTTTGCCTCAGGAGGGAACAACAAGGTCCCGGCCTTCTTTTCCCTATCTCGTGGAGACGGATCAAGGGCGGTGGACGCGCTGAGTCAAAGGTGGGACTACCGGCTGTGTTACGCCTTCCCCCCGGTTCCCTTGCTTCCTCTAGTTTTGAGGAAATTCAGAACAGAGAGGACCTCATTGATTCTGATAGCTCCCTTCTGGCCACGGAGGGCTTTTCGCCACACTGAAGAGTTTAACCTCCCGTCCGCCCTGGGAACTGCCACCAAGGGAGGATTTGTTATCGCAGGGACCGGTCCTTTGCCCCAACGTGAGGAAGTTGAGGTTAACCATTTGGTTTCTGAGCAGCAGCTCCTCTTAGGGAAAGGTTTTTCACCCAGGTTAGTGGCCACGTTACTGGCCAGTAGGAAAGAGGAGACCCAGGCCATTTACGGTAGGGTCTGGGGTCGCTTTACTGCTTGGTGTGATCAGATGTCGCTGACAACCCACAGCTTAGTGTCTGTGTTGGAATTTCTGCAGGCGGGGGCTGACAAGGGGTTATCGGTTAGCACGCTCAAGGGACAGATCTCTGCTCTCAGCGTGTTCCTGGAGACACCCCTGGCCAGGGAGGCGCTGGTGGCTAGATTTTTCAGGGCTCTAGTTAGACAGAGGCCTCCAAGGGCCAGTCCATTCCCGATGTGGGATTTAGCCAGGGTTCTTGGTGCGATGACGAGGACGCCATTCGAGCCCCTGGAGTCCTGCTCGATTGACGAACTCACCATCAAGACTGCCTTCTTGGTAGCGGTCACCACGGCAAGGAGGGTGTGTGAGTTGGAAGCGTTGTCCATTAGGTCGCCCTATCTCCGTGTTTTTTCGGACAGGGTAGTTTTTCGAACAGACCCATCCTTCATCCCAAAAGTGGCACATAGATTCCAGAGGGAACAGGACATAGTCCTTCCCTCATTTTTTCCTGACCCGGTTGGGGATGATCAGAAAAAGTTTCATTTATTGGATGTCAGGAGGTGCGTACTCCAGTATCTAGAAAGGACTAGGGAGTTTAGGAGCACCGAATCCTTTTTTTTTTTTTTTTTTAAGGGAAAAAAGGGAAAAAGGGCGTCCAGAGGGGACGCCGGCAGGTTGGTTGAAGTTGGCAATTTTCTGGAGCATACCAGGCGGAAGGCCTGGAGGTTCCGGACGGTATCAGGGCGCACTCCACACGAGCGGTGGCGGCTACTCAGGCTGAGTTTGCAGGGGCGTCTCCGGGCAGATTGGCAGAGCGGCAACATGGTCCAGTTATGACACATTTGCCAAACATTACAGGTTGGACCTGGTCTCGGTGCAGGAGCAGGCCTTTGGTCGTAAGGTCTTGCAAGCAGTTAGCCCGCCCGAGGGGTGAGTACTCGCTTATCCTCTCAAGGTGCTGGCCTGAAAGACGTAAGGGGAAAAAATCAAGTTACTAACGGTAACGTCTTTTCCGGGAGTCTTTCAGGCCAGCACCGGTTTCCCACCCAGTATTGATATGGTTTATGTGAGCATGATTTGCGGTGATTGCGTTTGTCTCACGTTGTGTCTCCCCCAGGTGACCGGAGGATGTTTGGTGAACTGAGGTCGGAGGGGAGTGGAGGTCTTTTATTTTAGGGTGGAGGTGTTTCCTCAGATGGGGAGGAGCCGAGGTCTCTCAAGGTGCTGGCCTGAAAGACTCCCGGAAAAGACGTTACCGTAAGTAACTTGATTTTTTTTTTTTTTTCCTCTCCCTTTCTTGGCCCTATGCTAATCACATGCACCCTCCCAATCAGCACTGCCCAAACAGAGGGGCAGGGGTCATGTAGCCTCATAGGACCATAGAATGAGAACCTTCAAGCTTTAACCAGTGCTCTGATCACAAGATTGCTCTAACTGCTGATGAGAAAAGGTATTTAGCAGTTTATAATCTAATAAAATTACATTTCCGTGTACTGTGGGAGAGCAGATATAGTGAATGCGGGGTCCGGGGAGAGCGGAGCGGATATAGTGAATGCGGGGTCCGGGGAGAGCGGATATAGTGAATGCGGGGTCCGGGGAGAGCGGATATAGTGAATGCAGGGTCCGGGGAGAGCGGATATAGTGAATTCAGGGTCCGGGGAGACCAGATATAGTGAATGCAGGGTCCGGGGAGACCGGATATAGTGAATGCAGGGTCCGGGGAGCCAGATATAGTGAATGCAGGGTCCGGGGAGAGCGGATATAGTGAATGCGGGGTCCGGGGAGAGCGGATATAGTGAATGCAGGGTCCGGGGAGAGCGGATATAGTGAATGCGGGGTCTGGGGAGAGCGGATATAGTGAATGCGGGATCTGGGGGAGAGCGGATATAGTGAATGCGGGGTCCGGGGAGAGCGGATATAGTGAATGCGGGGTCCGGGGAGAGCGGATATAGTGAATGCGGGGTCCGGGGAGAGCGGATATAGTGAATGCGGGGTCTGGGGAGAGCGGCTATAGTGAATGCGGGGTCCGGGGAGCGCGGCTATAGTGAATGCGGGGTCCGGGGGGGTGAATGCGGGGGTCCGGGGAGAGCGGATATAGTGAATGCGGGGGGGGGGGGATCCGGGGAGAGCGGATATAGTGAATGCGGGGGGATCCGGGGAGATATAGTGAATGCGGATATAGAGCGGAATGCGGGGGGCTCCGGGGAGAGCGCATATAGTGAATGCGGGGGGGTCCGGGGAGAGCGCAGATATAGTGAATGCGGGGTCTGGGGTTTAGTAACACTTTACTGCGAATTGTTAAACAGAGCCTATTGCAGGCTAGGTGGTGAGTGTGCTGGGAAATCTTCATTTGTGATTTGCGTTGCCCCTTACTCCAAAGGCCAGTTATAGGTTGGGGGGGTTGTCACTTTCAGGACAGAGTACACCCCCCCCCCCTATAACTATAACTGTCACCCCTCTAAAGTATAACCAAATCACCCCCACCTCTGTCCAAGTATACCAAATCCACCACCACCCCTCTGTCCAAGTATACCACTTCCACCACCGCCACTCCTCTCTGTCCAAGGTTTTGCTCACCTCCTCATAAAAAGAAATCAGATTTGTTTGACAACTTCCGTCTTTCATGAATCCATGCTGTCTGTGGCTTACAATATTTTTTTCCAGCAAGAACTCCTCTCTGTGGTCTTTTATTAAACTCTCCAGTATCTTCCCAACTATAGAAGTTACACTAACAGGTCTATAATTACTTGGTAAAGATTTTGACCCCTTTTTAAATATTGGCCCCACATTGGCCTTACGCCAATCCAGTGGTACTATACCAGTCATTAAAGAGTCCCTAAAAATGAGAAACAATGGCTTTGAAATGACAGAGCTGAATCCTTTAAGGCCCCGTGGGTGTATGCCATCCGGTCCAGGGGCTTTATTCACCTTTATTCTGTCTAAATATTTATGGATCAAATCAGTTGTGAGCCAATGTGGATCATCTGGAGCTGTGTCAGTACCACCCCCCCATTATGGACAAGAGCCCCTCCATGCTCCTTTGTATACACAGAGCAGAAGAAGGGATTTCATACATTGGACTTCTCTTTGTCCCCAGTCACCCCCTCTAGATGATTCTGTAAAGGGCCTACATGATCGGACCGAATTTTTCTACTATTAACATATTTGAAGAATTTTTGGGGGTTAGTCCTGCTATCTTTTGCAATCTGTCGTTCATTTTCAATTTTTGCGAACTTTATTTCCTTTTTGCATATTCTGTCATATTCTTTGTAATGTTTAAATGATGATAGCAATCAGGTCTACTCACTCAGGTCTTCTCCTGTACCGCTGATGGGCCTTTTAGCTGGGCCGCTCTTTCTCTGCTGTACAGGTGATCCTCGCTCTGGGGACCAGTGAAACTTTGAGTCTCCTTTCCAGCTCCAGGCCTGCAGGTAGGCCCCATCCCACTGGGCCTCCTTGCAGCCTCCTGTCCTAAGCCTCACATCTCCCCCACTGTCTTCTACCCCAACTGTCCCTCAGCTGAGCAGCTCCAACATTTTTAAGGGTGTCCCCAGCCTCTTGCCAAACCTTCTGTTTGGGATTGGTTAGGATCCCTCAAGAGTGCAAGCCAGGCACTCCTCAGATCCACCCACTACCCCTAGGCCTTCCTGAAAAGCTCTAGAGCAGGAGGAAATTCCAGAGGGGTTGGCCTGCAGAGACTCTCAACTCCTGACCACAATTTGACCTTCTGGCTAGAAGAAGCTGGAGAAGCTGCTGGAATGCATGGTAGTGTGTTTTTGCCATGTTGTTGCTGCATTTTTGCCGTGTTTTGCATTTTTATTCTGCCCAACAACAAAAAAATTCCACTTTAAAAAAAAAAAAAAAAAGAGCTGAACAAAACACGGCAAAAATGCAGCAAAAATGCGTGTAGGAAAAACACAAAAGAAAATGCAAAAAGCACTGGAGAAAGCATCAAACGTAAAATACATACATGTGAACCAAGCCTTACTGGCCAGTACACGGGGGCCTAAATCTGGCACTGGAGAGCTCAGAAGTAAGGGTAGATCTAGACGTACATCTACATCTCCCTGGCCCCTGAAGCCTGTTCCGTGTTCGGATCGCACTGACAGGCAACGAGGAAGGGATTTGACGCCTCCGTGCCACTTCTTTTAATCCAATTTTTGCTAACAAATGCCTTGCAACTGCGTGCAATGCGGGTCTTTGCAGTGCTTCCCCATTGACTTGAATGTGTAGCCCCTGACAATCGCTACAAGTTGGGTCAACTTTGCAGTGGGGGCAAAATGAAACATCATGGCCGTTACATGTAAACACCCCCATCCGCTGCTAATTGTAGCTCAATAGGTGTGGGTGGTAGGTGGCAAAAATGTGGCTCAACCACTAATGTTTACCACCCTCCAACCGTAAGTCTAAACAAGGCTCAGGTCCCTCTGAACTCGGGTCTAGGTGTCTGAATGGTGTCCCCAGTAAGCAATACTGTTCCTTTAAGTAGGGTGTAGTAGGGTATGGCCAGCAGTGCCTCCTATGGTGATGACCTGTCTGCTCCCACCCCATGTCCAGGGCTCAGCGATATCAGCTGTGTCTGATTTAACCCTGAAAGGGCTGAACCATCGCAGGTTGCAGGGTGGTTGTGGGCGCTGTTCCCATTCACCTGAATGGCTCAAGTTTGGCAATAGTATTACTACAAATGCAGGGGGGGTGCGGTAATTTTTGCTGCATCATCTGGCACCTGCATTATGTTTTCCTTTAGGTGGGCGGTCAGGAAAAGAAGGATGTAATACCAGAGACCTCAGATTTACCTCCAGGGATCCATAGGTTCCTCATACCATTCCACTGATTTTCTTGGCACAGACTTTGATTTGTATGACGTCATTTCCAATGCCTAGTATCAGTTTTCTCCTGAGAATGGCCCATCACATGCAGGGTGTAGTCATTACTGGACACCCCCACCCTCTCTGTGGAATGGTACAGCCCACAGGTATATAAGCCCAGGTACTGGGTGAGATGTATTAGTCTACTGAGAACTGTACAAAGATGAGTGAGACGGCACAGCCAACACTTGGGGGGACTGCGTGAGCCCAGGGAACCTACTATAGAAGAAGAGGCCATCCTTTATCAGGTAAGTGGTTGGGGATCCAATCCTAAGGACTGGTTCATGCCAGGTGTGATGATCTGCATTGGGACCCTGAGAAGCCATTGACCTGTGTCATGTTTACACCATACAAGTGTGTTCATTAAACTGCATTACATTGGGTTACCTTTTAGAGTTTTTTTTTTTTTTTTTTGTGTGTGTGAATTAGTCCTTTTTGTCACCTATAGCTTGTATAGCAGAAGCTGCAATTCCCAAAGGCTGATGATGTATGTTGAACGTAGATAGCCCTTTAATAAGGAGCTTCTTGAGACCCCCTCCTTCCCACCTGTATCCCTGAAATGTAAACCCCAATGAAATTAACTGATCAAACCTGGTGCAGTTGTGCATGGCAACCAATCAGCTTCCATCTTCAGCTTGTTCAGTTGAATCTTGACAATGAATATTAGCTGCTAAGTGATGGGCTGAACCCACCCCCTCCCTTCAGAACTTCGGAGGGGACAATTTACTTAGCATTCTCCTACTACATCTGAGTATGGGGGAAGATACTGCGCAGCTACTAAAATTCCACGGCTTGTAATTTATGTTGAATTCTAGTAGTGAAACCTTCCATGTTGTCAGTGAGATTCCCCACTGACAGCTGAATGTAAAAAGAATTGCCCTTCAGGTCTGGTATGGATTTTTAGGGGAACCCCATGCTAAACTTTTTTTTTTTTTTTTGTAAATGGTGTGAGGGTCTGCCCCCAAATCCATGCCAGACCCTTATCTGACCATGTAGTGTAGCCCGGCAGGCCAGGAAAGGGGATGAGCTAGCTTTCCTACCCCTGAACTGTGCCAGACCATATGATCTCCAACGGGGGGGGGGTGCTTTTGGGGGCAAAAGCACCTTGTCTCCTTGTTGGAGACAAGGGCCTCTTTCCCCACAACTGTGGGTGGGGGGGCTTATTGAAATCTGGAAGCCCTCCTTTACCAAGGGGGGGTCCCCCCCCCCCCTATGTGAGTGGTACATAGTACCACTACTCATTCACAAGTTATTGTAAGTCAAAAACAACGTTTGACAAATCCTTTAAATTTAAAAGCCCCCTGAAGTAGATCCAATGTTAATCACAATGCCTGCCAACCCCCTCACCAGGGGGGTGATATAGTCATACCCTGTGATTGGCCAAAGCATTGCACCTGACCTGTGGTCTTCTCAAACTGTTGCCAACAAGGTAGGACCTTCATGTCTCTGGCATGCTGAAACATTAACACTGGGAATGCCTGAACTCCATCGTTGGGAGCCTTGTTCATCCTATGAGCCCTACAGGTAGATGTGATGTCGGGTGTTAAACCTTTTGGTGTACGAAAGCATCCGTATATACGCCCTATACACTCACACCTTGCTAGTATTGGGTTGGACACCTTTTCCCTTCAGAACCTCCTTCCTTCTTCATGTCCTAGCTTGAACAAGAAGTTGGAAACATTCCTCCATCTCAAAGGGGTGTCTGTGTCCCAACCTGACACCAACAACCATGCCATGTTCAAAAACTGGTTTGTACTGTACTCCTCCTTCTCACAATGAGTCTATGGGGCCTGGCCTTATACACCCTATCCATGATGCATATTCAGGTGCTGGAACTGAATAAAATGGGTTTTTGATGTCTTGCATGCTTGTTATCAAATCTCTAGGCTTTTTATTTTTTTTTGGGAGGGTACAAAACCGATTTGTAAATGACCCACTAGAGGGGAGGAAAACACTTGGCCTTCAGTCACTCTGCCATTGTTCCATAATGGCAATTGAGGTATCAGAGCTTCCAAGGGAGGATGTTGTCTTCAGTGAGTCTCCTGATTCGTAAGGGGCCATATTGTTATCCACTGGACACTGCAGTGTTTACTCCTCAGCGCCATCATTGGTCATGTAATGTACTGCAGGCTGTCT